TATATAGAGAGAGAGAGAGAGAGAGAGAGAAAGAGAGACAGAGAGACAGACAGACAGACAGACAGACAGACAGACAAACAGACGGACGGACAGAGACAGTGAGACAGATAAAGAGATAAGATACAGACAGGGTGATAGATATGGAGTAAGCAATTGTGTGTGCATGGGTGTAAGCGTGCATACTTTTATATGTGTGTGTGTGCGTGTGCGCGCGTGCGCGCGCGCGCACATATATGTGTGTGTGTGTGCGCGCGCGCACATATATGTGTGTGTGTGCGTGTGTGTGTGTGTGTGTGTGTGTGTGTGTGTGTGTGTGTGTGTGTGTGTGTATCTGTGTGTGTGTGCGTGTTTGTGTGAGCATGCAAGCGTGTGCGTATGTCTGTAAGCGTGCACCAACTTGTTGTGTGTGCGTGTGTAAGTGTGAGTATTCATGTGTGCGTTGCATGTGAGTGAAAGAGTGTGTATGTATGTACGTGAGGGTAAAAGTGTGAAAATGTATGAGTGTGCGTATCTGTGTGCGTGTGTGTGTGTGTGTGTATGTTTGTTTGTGTGTATGTGTGTGTCTGTGTGTGTGTGTGTGTGTGTGTGTCTGTGTGTGTGTGTGTTAGAAAGAGAGAATAAAGAGAGAGAGAGAGAGAGAGAGAGAGAGAGAGAGAGAGAGAGAGAGAGTACCAATCAGACATATAGAAACAGTGACAAAGGCAGGGAATATGAGAGTGAGTAAATAAGCTGTTTATGTTTATCTAATCCGAGAGGCTGAGTATTCCTTTAACGGGAAATTAGACAATACTCAGGAGTTCCATTTCCCTGAAATCATCTCTGTCCAACAACATATCTTTAAATATAATTGAATTTGTTTCCTGTAAATATTTCTTTCTGTTTCGATGGCTAACTCAGAATTCAGAACTAGCTAAACCATAATAGTACATTATATTCGATGCAATGATTCATTGGTGTCTGTTTGCATTTGCTACAGTCTATGTTTGTTGTTATTTTTTGTTTCTGTGTTGTTGTTGTTTTTTTGCTTTTATTATTTGAGAAGGGGGGGGGGGTTGTTTTTCAACTTCGTTAATCAACTAATATTCGTATTCTCTACGGGGATTCGAACATGGTAGGTACCACACAGGTGAGTTGTTACGGCACTACCAGTAAAGCCTTTTAATACAGGAAATAACGTAAATTGATTTTTTTTTAAATTCACGTTAGCAAACATTGTTCTACTTTCTGTTTTAATTCACAATATTGAAGGAAAACTATCAGCAACGTTTGGTATCACTAATATTATGAAGCACAGCTTTTGTAAACTGAGGTGCACAGGAAAAAAAAAAAAAATAAACGTAAATTTATTTTTAAAGTAAGAAAGGGGGAAATAAAATAGAAAATTGTTATATCAAACAGGACGAAAGACGAGAAAAAAGACAAATAAAGAAAGTAAAACAACACAGAAAATAAAACTGAGAACGAGAGGAATAAAAACTACACCAGTACAATAAAAAAAAAATGAATGGAGCAGGTACAAGACCGAGAGATGTAAACTGGAGAACAGTGACAAATAATTTTTTTTTCCTTTTTTTTTTCTTTGCAAAAAAAAAAGGGGGGGGGGGGGGGGCTTGGATAAAGGCTTTGAAAATAAGGAACGAAAAGAAAGGAACAGCTGTGAAAAGAAGTACACCTTGCAAAGGAAACTCGCCAAGAACATAATATGAGTAGGGAAAGGGCTAAACAAACAAAAAAGAAGAAGAAAGAAAACGACGAAGTTTGAAAGAGCTTGGGTTTAAAAGATTTTCTGACAATCTTTTCTCGAAATGCCATAACAACCCAGTCATTTATTATATTAGTTATTGTTCGTACAGCGTAACTGCTTTAACTCTCCTAAAATGGGCTTTGGAACGGGCATTAAAAGAACGAAATAAGCTTACGAGTGGTGAGTCCCTGATGACGTATACACACTTTAAAAGGATTTCATGCTGCCGTAAAGTTTTTTTCTGCAACTTTGTAAGAATGGAGATGGAAATGTTTTGTAAACTGAGGTGCACAGGAAAAAAAAACATGTTTTGTTGTTTTATTTTGTCTGATATAATTTATTTTCTCTCTTCATTACTTGTCTACTAACATGTCTGTCTATGTGTATGTATGTGTTGTAAGATTACATTCAGACAATCATAAAGGCACACACACACACACACACACACACACACACACACACACACAC